CCCAGATAATGCTTTAATGATTAACTTTGGTTCTCCTAAACCACCTGATAATCCCTATACTTCCTATCCTTCCTAGACTTTAGATCCTTTGATGTATGTGAGGCATTTGATGACCTTTCTGTCCTGCAAAGCTTTGTTCCTGTGCCTCAACCCCAAGAGTGTAACAGGCACCCCACTCATCTTGCTGCCTCCATCTTATCTTCTTGCCCTGAAGTCTGTCTTCCTTTCCTCTTGTCTAACACCTTCAGTGACTGTCCATTGCAAGCAGGGTGAATTCTAAGCTATTTCAAATGGTTCATAAAGCTCTGACCAGCTCCTTAATTGATTATTCCCAATCTCCATTTTATATCATATGATCATAGAATTCCAAGTCTAAGATGTCTTCACAAAACCTGTAGATATGCCTTGTTATATTTTCTTTATCTGATAAACTCCTCAAACTCTTTAATTCTTACCACCCAAGATTCACCATAGTCGACATCTCTTCCATACAGTTTTTACCCACTCTCAGAGGATGACTGACACTTCTTGATTGTCCTCACACAGCAACTATGTGAATGTACAAATGAATGACCATTCTTACAGGTTTTCTGCTAAAGGACATGATTGGGTGTATAAGCCAATCATCTTCAAAAGTTCCTGGAGGTATGAACCCATTCTCCTAAATCAGTATTGTAAACCAATTAACTCAATAAATAAAAATATATAGAAAATAAATTTCATTTGGCAGATGGCATAACTACAAATTGTATGGAAGGAGTGCAAATTGAGAGAATAGAAGGTGACTTTTATACAACTATGTGAAGTTGTTTTCTGATTTATATTTTAAAAAGTTCCTCTGGTAAGTTCTGTGCATTTAAAAATGGCATTGTAGTATTTAGGATTCATTCACCCTTGCTACAATTGTTCACATACTAATACATTTTTTCTAATACTTCACTTTCTATTGTGCCATTAACTTGTCTAATTTTATTCCAACACTTCATTTTCCTGAACTCCCCTTTTCATTTATACTCTAAAGTCCTTCAAAGTATCATTAATAATCAAAGATAATACCTGCAATAAGACAAAATATGGAAGACCATCCCCAGTGTTGGATGGTTTGTGGGTTTGCAAACTAGAAAGGACTAGATAAGAAATGTTTTAGACTTTGGGGGCTGTACATTATTTTTGTCACAACTACTTAACTCTGCTGTTATAGAAGGAAGGCAGACCCTAAGCAAACAAATTAGTGTGGCTGTACTCCAATAAAACTTTATTTATAAAACAGGCAACCCCCGTGTTATTTGGAGATTTGTTTTCCACAAAGGACGATTTAGTCAGTTTCTATTCAGCTACAGGAACAATTTCTAAGTGCCTTGTACCAAGAGTATAATATTTCTAATTATATGTGATCCCCAAGGTAAATAATTTGAAGGATATTTGTACCACACCTTAGAGTGGAGTTTTATCAGAAACAGAAGCTGGTGGGGGATAAGATTATATAAAACTTAAGTTGCTTTAAAAGCAAGTCATAGTTCAGCATATTAGGAGTTGCATCCCAAGGAAACCAGAAATTTCTGTCCTGCTGCCCTGACATTTAATAATAAGAGCGATAAATGTGTTCCTGCACTTTGCTGATACTATAAATTTTAGGAAATATTCCACAGCAGAGATGTTTCATAAGCCATGTGTGTCCCAAATGTAAATCTGAAAACGACCTTTGTGTAGAGAGGGCAAGGATGGACCACAGAAAAAGGCAGGCTATTCAGACTTGCAGGTAACAGTTTTAATGAACCAGGGGACTTACTTAGGAAGCATTGTCATGGGTGACCCCAAGATGCATAGTTTTTCACAGCACACCCTACCAAATCTCAAAATTTTATAGAGGCTTGAATTCTGTTCAGTCAATATATGCAAAGCAGATAGTCTCAACAACATACCACATACAGCCATCCTTTTGAGGCTATATCTAGAGCAGCTTCTGGGTCTTGATGTTCCGTGGGAGGAGACCGGGCAATTCATCTTCCCAAGGGTGAGGCTCTCCTTCATATTCCCCTGGGAAGAGAAGAAGAATCCTTAGATTTCCCAGTCCCACCTGGTAAGTCAGTTCTTTGGTCATGTATATTGAATTGCCATCCCCAAATTTGCCTCCACTGGAGCAAGTACTAAATGATATTTAGGAGAGAACCATTCATTAAAGCTAAAGTAACCTGTTAGAAAATGGGACAATAAATAGCATGTGGACATTCTATAGAATATTCTTTTTTTTTTTAATTTGTTTATTTATACAGAACGGGGTACAGGCCAGAAATGCGGAGGGTGAGAGGATTCACCAGAGACAGAGTGGGGAGCAGAACAGGCAGATCGA